CAATATATTCATATACACACATTACACTGTTATGTCCCTTTATAGGCTATTTTTTTCGCTATTGTTATTGATTATTAAGCAAAACAGGTTGATTAGTTTAACGTTGAAATATTGACATTGACACAGTGCAGTCAGGTTCCCTCTGCCTTTTTTATGTGCTGTGTTTTGTCCGTGTGAAAGCCTAACTTTAAACTACCAAATTTCACCACATAATCGATTGCACTTCGATAGTTTCGTTACAATATATCACAACGGAAGATTCGCTTTTCATACTTAAAATTGGTCCTCCGTGTGTGCCATAGTCCAGTATAAAATCTCTTTGAACCGGAAGTTCCACCCCTTTTCATCCCCTCTCTGGCAGACTGAGTGAGTTTCACGTTCTCACCTAAATAAATTCACAATTTCAATCATCATCCATCCTCTTTAATGCTATTACTTATATCAAACTATATACTTACGTATAATTACTCGCTCCAGCATCTAGATGACAAGATAACAATTTACTTTCCAACACTTTTCTACCCGTTGTTATAACCGATAAACTGACATCATCTTTCTTTGCTCTTCCGCAGCGCTCAGTCCGCTGAAACGGCAGCATGGTAAGGTTCTTCTCATTTATATAATTAAGTTGCTAAGTCCAGATAACCGATAATGTTTAATCTTCTTTACGGGTGTGTGCCGTAATGTGCATTTCGCAGTGATATAGCAAGCGGCAGATGGGACGAAAAGTGACTAGCATTGGCGAATTAGCATTAGCATAGCAACTCATTGGCACGCATGAGCCACCCGGCCTTAGTCTGTTGCTGAGGACATGTCGACCAACCCAAAGTAATATTCATTTTCTGAAATCATAAAGCGCTGGAGTTAACAACTCCCAAAGCCAAATAGTCAAGACCGCATCAGCTGTATCTGTTGTGAATTGATTCAGGTACCTGACGTTAGCCTCTACTGGTTACATTCAGTAAAGCTGTTTTTGCCGTCAGCAAGAAGTCCAAACATCTCAGGCTGATGTGCCCGTGATGCATTCACAATCTTGCAAGAATAAGGATGGACCAAGTGCTGAGTTTCGATTTCTAACAGAAACGCCAGTTCCACCGGTCCACTAACATCACGTCAGTGTACAGTCTCAGTCTGTATTAAGTATTTATGCTATGTCTGATGGTCTGCTTTGCTGTTCTTTACTTACAGCCTCGCAAGATAGAAGAAATCAAAGATTTCCTTCTGACAGCAAGGAGGAAGGATGCCAAGTGTAAGTTAAACTCTTTATCTTACCTTCCTGTACTGCTGGATGTAAATACAATGATGTAAGTCAAATATAAGTATATTTAAAAGGGAAAGGTTTATGCAGATGACAACTTCTATGATTTTTGCCACTGCAAAAATTCAAAAAGGTACATGCGAGCAAATTATGGGTGTTAATTTCTGCAATGGTCTTGTAAAAACCATCTATTTGGTACAGAGACTCAAGTAACAATTATATTCATTACAATCAATCTGACCGCTAATTCCTTGATTAATTGTTGACTTTAGTTTACCAGATATTGTAAACTGAGAATATGCCATTCTCAATATATCATAGACCACAGTGATGTCTTGAGTTTGCCTGGTTTGTCTGACTGACCATCTAAAACCCAAAGAGATTTGATTAACTGTCATGATAAAGAAGAGCAGCAAATCCTTGTAATATTGTTGCATCTTGCATTAGCTATTACCAAAATAGTTAAGCTGTAATGTAGATCGAATAATGTAGGTCTTATAAAAGTAGAGAGTGTTTATTCTAGTGCAATGTAAGGTCTTCAAGTCATACACAGCTGGTCAGCTCAACACGCTAAAATATGAAATTTGTCCAAAGGGAAGCTGACGATTCTAGATATATGAAGTTTCCATGAAATATTGAATATTCATACATCCATCAGTGTCACTGTTGTGTTGCTGTTGTTGTGATTTTAATGTTTAAATTTTAAGTTGATGTTTGAGTTGAATCTAAACACAGCCTTGTCTGTTTCGAAGGTCTAATGGCAGAGCGTGTTTTATGTGGCATAGATTGTAAAGTGTGATTTTATAAATAAAATTTGTCTTCACTTTATCTTCCTCCAGCCGTAAAGATCAAGAAGAACAAGGACAATGTTAAGTTCAAGGTCCGCTGCAGCAGGTACCTGTACACCCTGGTCATCACAGACAAAGAGAAGGCTGAGAAGCTCAAGCAGTCCCTGCCCCCAGGTCAGTATTAAATTTAAGGTTAGGTTTTAAAACTTACATAATGACTTGAGACACAGCAATGTTTCTGCATTTAAATGAATTTGTACACTTGACCTTGAACATAAAGTCTTAAATTGAGCCAGTTTGTAGAAGTTTGCATCTTTCCTGAGTCCAGTTAAAGGCAACCCGAGGAGGAGTTTTGGTCCCTTAGTGGCTTAGAGTATGTTTCTATGAGATGGTCCCATTTATCTTGTACCAGAATGTGTTAAGGGATGCACTTGCATGCCACAAGCATAGGGCTGACATTTCTGGTGACTTTAGAGGATGGTTTTATTTGTAGTAATGCACTGTGCCAATTGAACAACTTCAGGCTTCAGAGCATACATAAGTCATTGCAGATGTCTTATGTCGGAAATTGATTCAGCATGTGTATTGGGCCTTAGGAATATATACTAATGCATAAACTAGTTGTTTACAACAAAAAACTTTTTTTCAAATAGGAAGGAGTAGATGATTATGTGTGTGATCCTTGTGGAAAAATGATTATCCTTGTGCAACTTAAAGCACTGATGCACACTATCAAGCCAGTTTACAGTAATATAAACCACTGAAACTCAAGTCTACAGCAACAGCCAGAATACTGCAAACATGACTTAAAATGTAAGGAGAATACTCTCATATTCAAACATATGCCATATTACAAAGGAGCTACAAAATATCCAGAATTGGAGATTTTCTTAATTTTTTTTTATTAAAGGTTATCTATGAACCCTGCTGTATGTGGGGGTTGGTTGCTGAATTGCTCTGTAGCAGTTGTCATTCTGTTAATTTGAATGGGCTTAATGTTTGCTTAACCAAAGATGTCTCTGGTTTTAACTATTAGCTGTTTAGTGGCTGTTTACATTACATCTAACAAAGTTAGAAAAATGAACTGTTGAAAAGGTGCAAGCCGTAAACTTTTTTTGATTTTAAAAATGTATTATTATGCGGCTGATAACGAAGTAGTTCTTGTCTAGGGAGAAAAACACATTCATGTGTAAATAAAACATTGTCTTCCTTGGAAACCCTCCAAGCTGATGCAAATGTAATTAGTCTTCATTGACTGCAATGATTAGGTTGTATTATGGGCTGGATTGTGCACATTCAGTTCAGTAATTTATTTGTAATTCATTTGAAGAAAAGAAAAAAACGCTGTGCTCTGAGTCATTTTACAATAGGCCTTAAGCGTCAAGTACAAACCTACTTATTGAAAAATGTGAATAAATGAGTAGTACTGGCACCTGTCTTTAAAGGTAACTGAATTAATGAGGCCAGTCTATTGGATTTGTCAGATGTTCAATGATGGCAAATGTATAATAGTATTAGTAGTAATGATCTCCTTTTAACATGGGCTTGTCAATTATATTTGTCACTGTTGAAAACATTTCTTCAGTACCAGTGAATATATATATATATATATATATATATAAGTATATATATATATATATATATATATATCTCTTTCTAACCAGTTGTCTTTCTTTCTACAGGTCTGGCGGTGAAGGAGCTGAAGTAAATCCGTGATGTACAGATAATTGTAATAAAAATTGGAAAACCAAGTTATTTGTCTGTGGTTTTGTGTCCACTGTATTGTCATGCCTTGATATAAATGTGACTGGTTACAAAAGATAAATTGCATCGTGTTATCTGTCCTGTGTATAGTGTGTAGCCAGCTTGTTGAAATAGGACAGGATGTACATTGTGCTCTGACATCTTTCCACAACATGTCACATTTTCAGTCAGACTGAAAAATATCCTATTGACACTTTCCTCCCTTCCAGTAACGGGTTAAAATAAAACCACAATATAACTCTTAATTCTTTGTAGGTGTTGGAAAGCCCTGGACATACTGACACTTCTTACCTTGTAGGTGGTGCAACTCGCTGCTGCTTCTAATCTGCATTTGCATAAATGTCAGTCCAAATATGTAGTAGTTAATTCCAGTGATGGTTGAGGGTTCAAACAGCAAATGTTAAATAAAAGGAAACAAAATTAATGTCTGAAAAAGTTCAAAAGTCAAGTAGATTTCTTGAAAGTAAATTTACATTTATTTATTTTGTCCATCAGATTAAATTGAGCTACTGCTTATTAAACTGAATTGCATGCCTCTTAAACACAGCATGTCTGAAATATTCTACACAAAGGTGTTTGAAGCCAGAATGAGTAATGAACAGCAGGTGAACCCTCTTACATTGCGTGGCAGGCAAAACATGCATTGGAATGTTTTTCTGCCCAAACGCAGCTTCACACAGACATACTATTAAACATTAATAGGTTTAATATGAGAATATAGAATGCTCAAAATACAAGCAATGGAGACATGGCTTAAAGAATGAGCGGATTTATCTTTAAAAAATAATTCCATCACCTACACTGCTTTAATCACACCAGTATGGTTACTGAGAACTACATACTAATGTAAAGATCGGTCAATAGACAAACTGACCCATCTAAACTATTCGTGGAGTTCAGAGTTTGTTAGAAACCTACTGTAGGTTTAAGGCTGATTGTAATTATCTCAGATGAACACTAGGTGGCAGCGCAGTAGTTAATTCCACAAATAGACTGATAACACGACTCTTGAACAATGAAACACGACGTCCAGATGAAAATGATATTAATCCTTAGTGAGCACGTGTGCTTATTTAACAGTTTTGCTTCCGACATCTGGCGGAATGATACTTTCAAACTCCTCAGCGGGCCGTCTTTGCGCGCCCCAGCGCCTCCTCATGTCCTGAGCCCTTCAATCAATGCGCGTTCCCGCTGGTGACTGTGCTGTGCGCTCGGAGCAGCTGTCTGTCGGATAGTAGCAGCGAGTCCACACGGAGACATGGGCGCGCTGTGATTAATTCTTCTTTCCTGAGAAACCCTTTTGTCGGATTTCACTTTGAAAACAACGCTACTGTCTCTGCGAGACTTCAGCCACGTTTTGTCTCATGTGTGGCTGAGAGTGTGTTTCCATAAACGAGCATGCTTTTATCACTGCCTTTGTTTGATATGAGACTGGATTAGGATCTCCGGCAGCGGACTAAACTGCCCGCTTTAGTAAAGAGAGGCTAATTTAGGCTCTAGCCTAACTTTTTCTCGGGGCAGGGATGTCTTCGGCTCGGGTGGATTACATTGCGCCCTGGTGGACTTACTGGCTTCACAATTTTCCTCACATCAACCTGAGGTTTCAGCCCATTGACAACAGCTTCCAGCCTGAAGAGGAGAACTACCAGCAGGTCAGTAGAGGAAGATGGGACATGAGGCTTTATCAGGAGCCGAGTCACCAAAGAGGACATAGGCTGAGTAAACCTAAGGCACAATATGTATGGGCTTGGCCAATGTGTGTTGCTCTATATTGAATTAAACATTTTAGGAAACGGTATGATTTTTTTCCCTTTTAACTAATAATTAATTATCACTTATATGCACTCCTATGGTGCCACCAAAATCAGTTGTTTATTGTCATTATACTTTGTGTTTCCTTCAGATTCAGATTACATTTTGCATTATTGATGACAAAAGTGGCTCATAATGTCTCATTGAATGTCCTGCAGTCCACTTAAGTGTTAGCCACCTTGAGGGGTCTGCCACATTTATCAGAAGCTAAATCCAGTCCAATAGATCAGCCAACAAAGTCAAAATGGGTTGTTGATGCCATCTGGAAGAGTGTTGTTATTTTTAGAGACCTCTCTAAAAGCATTTATTACTCCTCTTTGGAAAATGGCAACACATCATTGAGGCATGTTTAAGGAATATTACAGCAATCTTGTTTTTGCTTTGCTTTGCTGTTTGCTAGTGGACACAGAACAAGCTCATCTTGTAAACACTGCCTTCAACTGGGCTTGGAGACATTTTTCATTTATTTTTAAGTGGGACAAATAAGTTGTCTTTGGAGAGGCAGACTGTGGCTCAGGAAGCATACTTGGTGGTTAATTTTGGCATAGATGTGTTTCACCCATGGGAGTCAAAGTGGTTCCCGAATAACTCCACAGGCGGCGGTGACAGGACTGTTTCACACAGCTTCAAAGTAGGCTGGGATCAACTGTTGGATGACTAATGACCTGCTTGTGAACACATGTCAAATACTATGAATGATTTATTATTTCACTGTTTAATTTTTCAACGTTACAGCTTAGCTTCTGTCAGTGCGTGTAGTTACATCATGGCGAGGATAGATGACATTTAAGTTCATCGCTGCAGGATCTTAGCACAGGGGTCTCCAGCATGAGGTCAGGGGGGCCCCCTGACCTCAGGTGTCCAAGTGAGTCAGAGAAGGGCCTCATAATTATGTGGAAGTGTTTGATTTGTGAAATAACAGAAAGTGTAACGTGTGTGTATGTCTCTTTTAATGTTAAAGTAATATGAACAAGCATAAGTAGAAACTTACAGATCAATAATGCCTGGAAAGGAAAGGAAGGATACTGCCATGAACCGTAGTATCATGAAGGATGATTGCGTGATATGTAATCTGATAGTACTTTGTGATCATGCTTTTTCCTTCAACGACTCTACAAAAGTATGGGCAATAGGGTGGAGCTGAGGTTGGGCAATAAAACAGCAACTGCTTTGATAAACTGAAAGACTTCAATCAGTGAAAGCTGAAAGCGAAACTCTGTAACTTCTGCTGAATAGAGGCCACAAGTGAATATTACAGGACAATTGTAAATGGTAAAACATGTTGGTATGGTATATACCAAATTTAGTAATGTCAGTTACACAGCAAAATCTAGCCAGTGTTTGCTAATGTTAGCTAACATTAGCCACAATAAGCTAGTGGTCATACCAGACCACTAATTTCTCCTTAGCTGAGAGGGTAACTTAAGGTTGTTGCGCAGATCCTCTTGAAAGGTTTTTTTTAGTTCAGGTATTTGCAGCAGTGAAAGAGATTTTACAACAGTAAAATTCTACTGCATAATAAAGTAGAATACTCTTCTTAATATGTGTTCATTTTCTACATAACTCTGCCATGTTGCAGGTAAGATTGAACTAGATGTAGCCTACCTTTACTTCTTTTCCTTACTTTAGTTGCTTTTGCAACAGTTTAACTGACAGTTTGACTCCTTTTGTATAAGACTAAGGTAAGGAGAAAACCTTAAATACTTAAGTGCACAGTTTAAGGAAACCTTAAGGTTGAAACATAAGGGTGTATTTTGCAACAGTTTTTATTTTAAGAAAACCTTAACTTTAAGACTTTAAGGAAAATCTTAAATTAAGGTGTTTTGTGCAACTGGCCCCAGGCTCTTAAGCTACTAAATGCTCCATAAGCTAGTTGCTAACTTTGTCTGTCCGCTGTTTGGTGCAAAGCAGTTAGTGTATATTAGCTCAAGTGAGATTAGGCTGTTTTAGGAAAGAATTCATTTTTCTACAGAGAATTTGAGGTGTTCCTCAATCACAATTTTTTTGGTGCCATAATCTATGGCACAGTAGCATCATATGAAGGTTTCAGCGTTAGCCGTGATGCTAACCTTAACTTTTAGCTGCCATCTCTCCACCGGCAGAAGTCTTGATACATCTCTGCTCTACGAGACATCAGACGGTGGCACAAATGAACTGGATTTGTGTTGCGCTGGTATCAGGAAGAGACAGAGACAGGCAAAGTAAGGGAGACTTTTTTTATTCTCATGCTGCCAGTTTCCATTCTCAGCAGCAATGTGGAAGCAGGCTCAGTGCCACAGGGTGTGTGGAGGGAGGGAAGGAGGGTGGTGAGTCTCAGCAGGAGAGCAGCACTTCCTCCTGAGAAGACTTGTCATGCAGAGGCAGTCAGTCAGAGGTGGGAAACCCCCCTCATCCCCCCGTCACTGCACCCATCAACCCCTCCTTGTTCTCTCTGACTTTTGTTTCACTGCCTCTCTCTCCTGCTCTCTTTTGTCTGTCTTTCCCAGATATACATCAAGCCCCCTTCATGCTCTCACTGTGTAGAACAATTCCCTTTAAAGCACCAAGGCTAATGACACAATTTCAAGCTGATGCAAGGCTATTGAGGCCATTACACTTCCTGTCCTTTGTGGGCTGTCAAGCTTAATTCTGATCACCACCTCTTGTTTTGACTGCATTAGTCGCAGTGATAATGTGCTGTGTACGCAATCAAGGGATGAAGAACTGAGAAAAGAGGTGATTTATTTCCCCTGGACGTACTTGCATAGTTGTTCAGTTGTGAATTATACTTGAATTATTGAGGACTGGTGTTAACGCTGCTAGTGACTCATATCAACATAATCAGTTTAATATGGTCAGTGATGGTACTATAAGGCATTAAAAGCATGTAAACAGTATGTGCCTAAGGGAAATTGCTTGTAATGCATCACACTGCTATTAATGAAAAGTTTATTTCCCTTCTGGGATGATTAACTGCATTGCAATTGATATTTTCGCAGTGTTTAATAGTAGAGAATTCGGGTAAACAGTAGAGAAATATATAGCGTAATAATCGAAGTGTGTGATGTCGAGTCTTTTGTAAAGGAATTACTGAATCGATGTTTAGTTGGCCGCTGCAGCGGAGAGTATTGAGCAGCTGAGCCGTGCCTTTAACCCAGGCCACATGCCTTGTCAGTGGAACTGTAATTGGCTAGTTGTAGTGTGGGCAATCCTGGTGAATTCCTCTGTTGGCTCTGGGCCACTGAATGTGATGGAATGTAAGGGGTCAGGATCTTTCACTGTGCTTTGTCTGTGTGTGTGTGCGGTAGTAGGTTTCTCACCCTCTGTTGGACACTGTTGTTGTCAGTGAGGAAATGCCCGTCAGCTGAATCACCTGACCAGAGTTCTTCTCTAATTTCTGTCTTCTGACAATGAACAAGCTATTCTATTCTTCATCTTACTGTTGCATATTTTGGAAATTCTCTTGTTGAAACAGACATATGCGCCCTTGTTACCGCAGTTTGAGGAACTGACACTTGAGCATTGTAGATGTCCCCCCATGTTGATAATTGCTTTGGCGACGCACACGCTCCTGAGTTAATCTGCTGATCTCCTCAGCGATCACGCACTCCTCCAGTTGTGTGTGATTGTGAAACTGTATTTTGCTGCTTCGTATTTTCCTGTCCTGAGGCCTTGAGGATGGAAAGAGGGCAAAAACTGTAAAAGCTCTCCCAAAAGTAGGACGGGGGCCTAGTTTTTCTGATATTTGTGTGTTCTACTTTATATTTGTGTGTGTGTTTGTGTCTGTGTTTGTGTGTTGAGTTAAACATCATGTGTAGGTCAGCAGGTCCTGGTCCATATGACTTCCCTTCCCATTTCCTGTTTGTGCCAGACACTGTGTCTATCACCACATGGGCCGCTGGTCCTGATACCTATTCAGCCATGAGACTCTGATACTATCCGAGCTGCAGGGTTACAACAGTTTATCGGTGAATTCGTGGTAATTAAAGGAGCTATTATTAAGTCTCTGATTAACGAAAGGTTGGAACTCCAGTATAATTAAAAAATAGTGTGTGGGAGAAAAAAAATAAGCACTTGTGCTTGTGTTTGCTTTAACTGTGGTATGTTTATGTGTGTCTTTCAGTCTTTTGGTCTCAGAGCCAGCAAGGAGCGTTAGGCCTAATGCTGTTGTCAGGGCCAGTGTCATCAAAAGAAAACTAGAAAACTAGGCTCTTGTTTTTCTGTAGTATTAACCTGAGGGGCTACTCAACATGCTGTAGTGTTGGTGTCTAAGGAATGTGTCAACATTCTTTTAGGAAATATACTTTATAAGCTTTCTTGATGAGAGTTAGATGAGAAGATTGACACCATTCTTATGTCTATACACCAAGTATGAAGTTAGCCGGCAGTTAGCTTAGCTTTGCATAAAGACTGGAAAGCCTTTCTTCACAGACTGCAGGAAGTCCCAACACCCCCCCCCCCCAGCTAACTGTTTCCCCCTGTTTCAAGTCTTTAGGCTAAGCTAACTGGCTGCTGTCTGTAGCTTCTTATTGTACCCTTGCTCACATAAATATTTTCCTATTGTTAGCTGTGGCTGTGTTGTGATTCAGTGCACAATCTGCCATGTTCTGTACTCTTGAAGTAACAGGGCAAAAGCGTTCACATTTTAAGTTGTAGATTTATCACGTTTTGTGTTTGCTCATGTTCCAACTTCCAACCTCAGCTAACTCCACTTTATAGAACAGCAGGAGATACTTAGTAAAAGAAGATTCTAATATGAAATAAACCACTTTCATTACCTTAATTAACGGGAACATCTCAGTAGATTACACACTTCCTGTACATAATTACAGATGATAAAAGAACATTTGTCTATCCCGCA